CCATTAAAGTGTGCCTAATCCCCATGTTCTGTGCGAGCTGTGCTAACTGAAATAATTGAATAAATTCGTGGAGATAGCCTATGCGTGAAACATAGCGCCGCAGTAGACCTGTAGCCGCAGAAAATATATGTGTGGTAACGAAGGACATTACCTATGTCGCCACTGAACTTGCGACAACATGATGGAGGCTTGGCGCAAATACCAAATATATAATTTGTGTTACCACTCACAAAATGTACCTATGCTTCAATCACCGATTAACGAATACAATATTTTTGCCGCCATGTAATGGGACGCCAGTTTTGCTAAAATTACGATCATATTAGCATAAAAAGGCAAAAATTATCATGTTGAACGCCACATTATAAAGAGCATGCCGTCGACAAGAACGCTTGCTTTTACGCAGCTTCGCCCAAACTTTTTACGCAGCCTCAAACTTTAGGTTAACGACCCTGGACCTAACTCATGCACACCATCGTTCTAGTTTTGTTCGCAATTATCTCACAACGGAAAAAATCTGAGGTAAATTTATGAGAAAATGAATAGCCTAAAACATTTGCGTTAAACAGCCGCCTTTCCACGGTATTGTTTGCTTAAAGCTGAGGAAAAGAGGAAGTGTTCAAGAGTGCTCAACTTCTACTTCTTAGAAATGATTTAACCTTTAACCTTTAATTCTGTTAACCTGCTAATTGAACTTTGTCTCATATAACGGTGATTACTGACACCAATATTCGTTCAACTTTATTAAATCAACTTTAATCAACGTTCAACTAATATTCAGGCATGCATCAGCCCACTTTTCGGCTTCTGAGCTCCGGGCATTTCATGCTGACTCTTCGATCATTGACGAGCGGCCAAAAATATTGTTTGATCCAAACAAAGCTTGATGTGGCTCGCACGAGCCATAGTGGTTTGCGGCCCGATTTTTAAAAAAAACACACACACACATATATATATATATATATATATATATATATATATATATATATATATAGCCATGGGTATTACGACTGGAGCATACGTCAACCTGACGTTGGCAATTTGAACATCAAATTGTTATTTGAATTTTGAGACTGCTGCTTTACACGCACTGGGTCCATGAGAGGTTGTTGTATCTTGTTTATCCCATACTGGACCGAAAATTAGGATTTAAGAACTCATGATTCAAACAGAAAGAAGTACCAAATAACAGAAACATTAACCTCTTGAGTTGCCTTCGGTGGCAACGCAACTAACGTTAACGCTGTCATATTGCCATAACCAAGATTCCTCTTTGAAGGGCACGCTTGCGATAGGTCAGAACTTTACTAGAGCCGAACTTCGCTAAATAATTGCAAAGCGAACAGTAACGCTCGTAAAAAATGGAAGATGACGAATGAATCAGGTTAGTGTGTAGTAACTTTCTAATACTTAACCCAAAAGTCCATTTTCCAGCATTTTAATGACAATCAAGTCGTCTAGTCAAAATGCCGATGACAAGTAAAAGTACTAGGTAGTAAAAGACGCCTCGATTTCTCCCGTAAGCATCAGTCGCCGTGCATCGTGCAGTACCGCCCGTGAGGACGCTGAGATCTGACCGGTCCGTGCCAGGCCACCGAGCCTGCTGGCCTCTCCACACCTGCCGCGGAGAAGCCAGGTGGAGAAGGCGGGGATTCCCGCCTTACCCAGCCGCCACCTCACGTTTTGTTGCCAGCGGTGTGGAGTGGAAGGGAGGGGAGGGAGGAGGGGGGGGGGGGGCGGGGGAGCCGGCATACCGGCCCGGCTCAACCCGCCAAGGCCGGGCGATGTGGGGAGGGGTGCTGAATGATTACCGGAGCCCCCTGCTCGCCGCCAGAAGGGAAAGGGCAGATTCTGACGTACTTTGTAATGGTACTCCCTGGCTAACCTTGACCACCTGCGGCAGCAGCAATCAGCTGAATATAATATCAGTTAAAAGTGGTCAATGCGGCCTTGGGATTCGCTCGGAGGCTAAACAGACTCCGCGTTGTAAACGGACCGGGGTTAGCGAGCTACGGGTGAGCGGCAAGATGCGGTAAGATGAGACACATCATGTATAAACAAGCAGATGCAATTCAACACAGCCAAATGCGCTTTCTCTACTTCGCACATCCATGCCATCTGCTTTCGCCAGCCATTTCGTAGCCAACCTCAACTGCAAACGCATAGGTGCACATGTTTGCACTTCGAATGCAAAACTGTATGATATTTGGGCGTATTAGTAGACCAGTGAACTGTCAAGGACATTTCCAAGTAAGAAACGTTTAGAGAAAAGCGTCTTAGAATTAAATTACATAGTTCAAAGTGATGAATGAATGCGACGAGATTTTATCATCGAGTGACTGTGAGAAAAGACGAGTAGGTTGCTGAGCTTTGTTCGCTATCAATGATCTGCGTTTGGAATCAGCTTTTGATAGTCATGCTAACAAATGCAGCACACTGGGTATCTAAAACAGCTTTGAAGACAAGCTTGCATTGAGCCGTTTGACCACATTTTATAATATTTCTGTCAGCGGACAAGACAGCGGACAGCGGACAGCACAAAATTTTGTGATTTAGTGCGTAGTGAGACACAGTACCGGTTACTCCAGATCGTGTTTGGCAGCGAGTGGCGAATGCAAGACTTCGTCGAGGGGGAGGCAGTACGCAACATCGTGGGGCCGCCTGCAGTTTGCTGCGGACTCCAAAAGATAGATCCTCGTATTCTGGCCATTAGATTTTAAAATTATTACACATCCTATTTATCGTACGGGAGTCCATCCTCCTGCACGCGGCCCTAAAAGACTAGGCAAGCTATTTATGTGCATACATGGAGTACGCTATTTTCCTGAGATCGTGATGGATGCTGTCATATTGTAGTTCAGAGAGTGTATGGAAAAAAACTAAGCTGATTGCTAATTACATTCATAATCTAGCTGTGCCCACCATTCCAAGGTTATTTACATCTGCCCACCTTACGACGGCTAGCTCGCTAGTCGCTGTGATCACCTGATTACTGATGACTAATGCGGAGCTTTTGCCTTGACTCGTTATCAAGGAGTACACATATCCTAGCTTTAAGGAATGTGTTTAAAACACCCATCCGGGTGGCCAGAGAGTACCCTTTGTTTGGGTGGGGTCAATTTCACTCTGGTGTTTAAAAACTAAGAGATTTATGAACACCAACTTCAAAAGGTGGGATGGACTTAACGTAAACTAATCATCCATCAACATCGTAGTTCAATGTTGGTGGGTGGTTAACCCGTTATCATATTGCCACTTCGAGTATTGACTGAGCTGCTATCCTGATAACTGGTGGATTGACCCGTGGATTTATCATCCCACTCAGCGTACCAAACACAGATTGTCCTGTTCCTCGCACATATCCTTCCACGCGCGACACAGGGATCTGTCGACTATCCTAGGTTTGTGTAGATATATATATATATATATATATATATATATATATATATATATATATATATATATGTGGTGTTGTGTGTGTGTGTGTATACGCATATATGCTTGCATGTCTGTATACATGTATGTAATGTATGTATATATGTATGTATGTATGCATGCATGTACTGTGTGTATGTATGTATGTGTGTATGCATGCATGTATGCGTGCATGTATGTATGTATGTATGTATATATGTATGTATGCATGTCTGCGTGTGGGTGTAAGGAGCCACTAGGTGTTTTGAATGGCATTCTCCAGGCAAGGTTCTAGATCCGCCCTGCTCCCAGACTTCATGCAACCGCTTTGAGCCCAGATACAATTACCTGTTTTAAGCAAACGTCACTGGTGCTCATTTAAGGTAACTGACCTTGTTTGAACTTATAAGGTCATAACGATCTAAAACCCTGCGAGATTGCTTCGATGTTTGCATTTGAATAAGCGTCAAGTATTACGCTAGACCGTATAACCCTAAAAACAAACTGTTGACCTCGGTCATTGTAGGTCAGTAACCTACTCTGACCTTAAAAAGCTCATGGAAAATGTCCTTTCACCAAATATTTCCCCTGTAGAGCAAGCTCTCCGGTGAACAACTAAGCTGTTTTAGACATCAGTCTGACCTTCACATCTGACCCTAGATCATAAGTGTTTGTTTTTAACCCAAATTCAACTATTTGCATTGCCTAAAAAGCATGTAATAGACGCATGGCTTCGTCTAGCACTTTGTTGGGGAATGGGATTAAGCGATTCCCTAGAAATCTCATTCGCTGACAGTCGCGACCTTACTTTGATCCGCCATAAGCCAGCGAACTTAGAAGGTACGTCTAATTTCGTACACCAAAATATATCCTATTTAATTGCCAGCAGCGCCGTGCCGTTTGGGAATAATTCAGTAAAAACCCTCGAGGAGCAAACTGCTCCCATCCGAACGCGTGTTAAAAACGTAATGCCCAAGTAAAGCACGGTGTCACGAATTGAATAAACAATGGATATGACATATATGCCGTCGGCAGTGCGTACAATACGTTCGTCGATGGCATTTAAAAATTATTCAGCGCAATCCGGCTGATGCTCTAAGGCTAAGGCGCTGCGGGTAGATCTTCACCGTATATCTCAGCCTGGTGTACATGAAGTAATTTAGCCAGGCTCGTACACACAGAGCGGTTTTGAAACGCCACGTCCTGGTGCCCGCAGCCACGTGTGGGGCTTTGAGCAGCAGAGTAAGATCCTCCTGACTTCATGGATAAACCCACGGCCAGTTTTGAAGGGCCCCGGAGCGAACCCACGCCAGTTTGAAGGGCCCCGGAGCAACCCATGGCCAGTTTTGAAGGGCCCCGGGGCGAACCCACGCCAGTTTGAAGGGCCCCGGAGCAAACCCATGGCCAGTTGAAGGGCCCCGGGGCGGAACCCCATAGCCAGTTTGAAGCCCGGAGCGAACCCACGGCCAGTTTGAAGGGCCCCGAACCCACGGCCAGTCTGAAGGGCCCCGGAGCGATCAAAAGTGCCGCGGCCGATAAACAGTTAGATTCCCGTCAACGGAAAATTTCCCGTTCTCAGGGATTCGCTTCAAGTACTTGATTCCTTTCCCATAAGACGGGGAAAACCCAAGACCGATAGGAACGGCGATTGAGCGACCGAAGGTGCCGCGGCAGGCCAACAAAGACGCTTTCGTCAGCAGTGTAAGGTCATCAGAGCAATCGATGAAAACACCACGACCGATGCGGTGGGCCCCTCAACGATCGGGAGTGCCCCGGCAGGTTGACATGTAGGGGCCCCGAACATAGCGCAGGTCCTCTAAACAAACGGGAATGGCCCAAGACCAGTGCGCATGAATAAGTGCCCTTGTAGCGGGCCCTTGTGCGATCAAGAGTGCCCGGGCAGATTAACAGAGTGCCCCGACAAGAGTGAAGGGTCGTGCGCAGACGAGATCACCTGGAAAGCTCCTGAGTTAATGTAGCAGACCCCAGAGTCCCTCGGTGCGTTAACTTCTGAAAGCCTCAGCAACAGCATAAGGCTCACCGGGCAAGTGAAAAGAATCCGAGCAGCCGAGAATACCCGGGCAGGTTAATATATGGGGTCCCCGACAAAGACGTAGCACTCTCAAAAAGTCAATAGGAATACCTAGACCGAGTGTCTTGGGCCGCCGAACGATTGAGTGGACCCGCACACCTCAACGGGTGGGCCATCTGCAAGAGCGTAGGGCCTTCCTAGCAAATTAAAAGTACCTAAGACCCAAGGTGGAGTGTTCCCAAGCGGTCAAGTATACCAGGGCAGGTTAACAGATGGGCTCCCGACAAAAGCTTGGGACCGTCCGCATGTAACAGAAAATTGGAACGGCCCTAGACCAATGTAAAAGACCAATGAGCATATCGCAGTCATGTCGGTAGGCTAACTGAGAACAATGTGAGGGGCCCCCAGGCACAGAGCAGCCGGGAGTGCCCCTGCAGATTAACATATGGGACCCCCGGCTATAGCTTATGGGCCTTTCGGGCGAATGGGGAGAATCCGTGGAGGGCCCCTGATCACCAAGAGTGCCCCAGCATGATAACAGATAGGGCACCGAAAACAGCGTAGGGCCCTCCGAGTAAATGCAAAGAAATCAAGGACAACGTGGAAGGCTTTTCAGCGATCGAATTGACCCTACAGTGGACGTATAGGGCCCCCGGCAACAGCGTAAGGCCTTTGGACAACTACATGAGCATCAAAATCTTCAAAATCGCCACCCTCTCAAACCAGCGAATGACTTTTTGTATATGTTCGTGTGTCCTTCACTCCCGCATCGACTGTTTTTGGTCGCTTGGGGCCCACGGACGTCCAATTGGGCGCGGTTTGGGTTTAAAAAACCGCGTCTGTTCGGGCGACAGTCGGGCCTCTTCGGAGCCTAAGGGCACCTCCGGGGCCTAGGGGGAGTATGTCCTCATGGACCCGCGTCCTATGGATCCGCCACTGGTGGCAGTAGCTATGCACGGCGTTTCTCCACCTTGGCAGCGCTCCATCGCGGTGTTTGGATTGTTTCTATAGCCTTGACCATTCATAGGTACCTTCTTCATGTGCTGAAGTGCAACCTGTGTACGTGTCAAGAGGAGCAAAAACCAGCTGAAACGTGCGTGCCAACGGATTCATCCTTGACTTACACATTATACATTTGTCTGCCAATCGACGCATGTACGCCTCGCTTTTGAGAAGACTTCGGGTCAGGTTCGCTGCCTTCTTTAAAGTAACCCGTTCTTTCAATGGCATGTTGCAGAGCGCCTGCCGCCTTACCTGGCGTTGCTCAGGTTGGCGATGAAGTCCATCGCCCCCGCCACGGTGACGTGGTGGTTGGTCTTCTCTTGAAGAATGCGGAAAAATTTCGTGGAAACCTTGAAAACAAGCGCACCATTAAACGCAAGACGGGGTGGAAAGGAGGGTGTCAGCTTGCGTGATTGCCAGGATGCCAGGCTGTTGTTGTCTTAGGTCGCAAATTCGCTTAAAGCTCGCTTTGGTCATCAGGCCGGGGTAAGCAGCTCTCCTGCGAGAGGACTAATAAACAGGATAGAACCATCTGAAGCCTTGAAAGATGCTTCAGTGCTAAATTCGGCAAGGGTGCTGGAAAGTGATGTTTTATCAATAGAGGCAACTGCGGAATCTAGAATGCATTGGCATACCGCAGTTTGTTATTGGTTTTCTGCTCACAAGTAGTATAACCTAGTGTCATACATTAATCAGATTTAGTCATATTTTACGAATGTCCGATGTGCTCGGTGAACATGAGGGATGTCAAAGCATGGTGAAACAAGAAGATTCTTAACATTGGTGTTCAGAAGATACCAGGGTGACTCTACCGGAGTTTCCGAACACAAATTGGTAGGAAGCAAGGTGGTGCTGTCCGGGCCGGCGTGTCAGCCTTGATGCCGTGCCTCTCCTGTACTTATTGACTGCTTTGGGTGCACCCATATCCTTGGGCTCACGAGCGGCCAGCCCATCAGGTATTTACTCTTCAAAGGTCTGTTCGATTGCACTGGTGTGACTTCTGATCCGAACTAAAACTTTTTAACGTCAAACAGTATAAAGTGATAAAAGTTGTAGATGTTGCGGGGAATGTAGCTTCCCATGCTCTCGTAAACCTGGCACGTTTGGTTCGTCACCCCAATATCCGCTGTGTGCAACAGAGTACCGCCTTGTTTACCACCAAGACAAGACCCGTTGGCGTGTTCACATCTGCTTCCTGGCGAGGCGATACAGACTCATGTATAACAAACCGGCGGGAGTCCCAATCGTATGGGAGCAGTGTCGCCCCCCCCCCCCCCCGCCCCAAACACACACACACACCTGCATCCTGTAGCATGTTTGTTCTACGGCAGCGTCCTTGTACTGTGTGAGATAGGCCGCCGCCTGACACGTCATCAGACCGGCCCCGGGCCGGCACATGTGTACACAACTGGCGGCTGAAGCCGCGCGACCCAACCTCCCGACCAGCTGGACTACTTACGCCTTTGGCCTGCAGTATGCTCGTGAATCGCTCGAGATTCACTTCATTGTAGCCGCACACCAGGTAGGCGGCTGTTTCCAACACCTCCACCAGCTCCCGCTGATGGGCTGTCCTGCAGCATAACGTGTCTGACGTCAGCAAAGCCGGGGTCTGGGCGCTGACGCGTGCTAAGCACTGAGACAAGCCAACAAACGGGCACCGGATTATTGTGCCGCTTAATGTGACGCGAAAGTGCACAAATTTCCGTAAGGGTTATGTTCGCGACGCGTATTCTTAAGCATGATACAGGTATTGAGGGTCTGCCCAAGCAAGTGCACAAAGAACAGCTACCCGATCTGACGGCTATCAAAGGGAAGACGCGGTCCTTGGACTAATAGCTTTGCTAAATACTTACCCACGTCTTTTGATTGGACAGGTTTCTGTCATCAGTGCCTGCACCAAGCAGTGCCTGTTGCATGAAGCCTGGCCCGCCATTCAATCGTGAAATTCCGGATCAACGACGACTTTTCCGGTGAAAGTTCAATATGCCGCAATGTTAGCAGGCCATTCCAGCCAGGTGAGAACAGTAAGTTCACAAACCGACTCGGACCCGCCTGCCGCGGGCGGATGGATTGAAAGATGAGTGCTGTAATCAACTGGGCTACGGAAACAGATTGCTCAGCTTGGACGGTACTTAGCCTGCATAACCATCTGGTCCGGTCTTCCAGACAATCCACAAGAAAGGTAAGTATTGCTGTTTGCAGGTTTGCTGACACTCGGGAGAGGGGGGGGGGGGGGGGGGAACGCGTATTGCTGCAGCCTACCAGGCGGTGGTAAAATCAAGTTACAGGCAGTGACGAATAGGTCAATTCCTGATTTTTTAGGTAAACATGAAAAGGCCGAATACGACTGATTGAGAGTTCACAGTATGTCATCATATATAAATGGAATGCTTCACATTTGGGGATATTAAAGTAAGCATCAGATATAATGAAATATAAATGATAAACTAACCTTAACACTATTAGCATACTTGTCAGTAGAAAAATCTGCATTAGACAACACGAATTCTGTATTTAGTAAACATTCTCCTCAATGCTTCATTATTTGATGCGTCATCGTGCCTTGCGCAACATTGATTGGGAGCCAGTTAACAGCCGTTATATCTGGACATCATGTTCACGAACACCAAATATTAACGATTCGACGATTGGGTAGTTTTTGGGCTCGAACGCCGCTAGGCCAATGGAATGGCAGGATTTAAATAACGTTATTATGCCGTCATAGGTGCGTAATAGGTGACCTATGCCGACATAGGTGCATAATTAGGTCAAGGGTGACCTTGACCTAATCTGCGCGAAAAAGACTGCACAAAAAAGACTGCGCTTCTTCCCGAGCGTGTAGCCCAAAAACTAGAGCGGTCTAGATCTAAAAGAAGGGCAGCGCAGTGAACTGCACTGGATCATCTTCAAGATGGCTATCTCAATTCAAATCTCCCATACAAATAGGGAACACTCATTTTAAAAAGCAATTACGCTCTGACAGCTGTGACGCGCCGCACGATTTCTAAGTAGATCCTGACGTATATAAGAGTGACATCCACTGGTTAACATGGCAGTCGGGTCGTACTTAATTTTGAAAACTTCCTCAACTGCATGCGAGGTGGCGGACTAACGCCTCATGAGAGTGCCGAGTTTAAACTTCGGCTTTCAACACGCCCTTAAGTCAATGAATCGTTAGCACGGTACGATAACGAAAGCACATAAGGAAGCTAGGACCGACAAATATGACCTAGTTAAATGATACTTATCCATACGAATGCCAGTGCGCAATGCCACTACCTAATCGCAGGCATAAGCAGACGACCACTCAAAGCAGCCCTCCCGGTGTGACCTTGGCCGACGTGGAGACTTACTTAGTCCTGCCCTTCAGAAACTCGATCCACTCGTCCTGGTCATAGTACCCGGCGCCGTCCACATCAAACAGGCCGAAGAGGTGAGCCGCTACCTCCTGTCGAGACCGAAAACAGACGGCGTCAGTCAGGCGCCGTGTCAGGGAGCATGTGTGGGGAACACGCCTAGGTCTCCGCCAGGGAAGGACGTCTGGGTCAGCGCGGCGTCGGTACCAATCAGGCGCCGTGTCAGGGAGCATGTGTGGGGAACACGCCTAGGTCGCCGCCAGGGGAGGACGTCTGTGTCAGCGCGGCGTCGGTACCAATCAGGCGCCGTGTCAGAGAGCATGTGTGGGGAACACGCCTAGGTCTCCGCCAGGGGGGGACGTTTGTGTCAGCGCGGCGTCGGCACCAGTCAGGCGCCGTATCAGGGAGCATGTGTGGGGAACACGCCTAGGTCTCCGCCAGGGGGGACGTTTGGGTCAGCGCGGCGTCGGCACCAGTCAGGCGCCGTGTCAGAGAGCATGTGTGGGGAACACGCCTAGGTCTCCGCCAGGGGGGGACGTTTGGGTCAGCGCGGCGCCGGTAGCAATCAGGCGCCGTGCTAGGGGAGCACGTCTGGGAAACATGCGTAGTTCAGACCAGCCGTGCTCCCCAGACGTGCCAGGGGAGCACGGCTGGGTCAGCGAGGCACATGCACCAATCAGGTGCCATTTTCAACTGAAATCTGGGCATGCTGAATCGCGAATGAAAGTGCTGGTCATTCAGGTGCACTGAACATTGGAGGATTTTCGATATTGTTATTGTGGAATAATTATATTACATGGAGGAAACGTCTAATAGCGTAGGTAGAGCTGCGCAAATTGCTCGCATGGCACATGGCTCTCATGGCATTTACGTGGCACACAGGTACATTCGCCAGAGCCCTCAACGAAGCTAATATTAAACGTGTCGTATATGCCTGAACAATTAATTGAACTAAATCTCTCCAATATTCACGAGGGACAATTAAGGCTAAACGTGTGCCCGCGCCGGCGGTTGCAGTGGTGCAGCAGAGCACTTTCAGTGCAGCAGGGTCACCAGTCCACCGTCTCCACAGCAGCAGCACGTCATAGGCACGCCAAGGACAAACTTGGCGCGACTGCCAGTCAAATCAAACGTCTGGGGAAACGCCCACCGGAGCAGCGCTGTCATTGGCTATTGTCAACAGCGCCGGGCGATATCCGCCGCCCCGCCAGTGAGGGTGCAGGTGACAGCGCCGGCCACACTAGTGTAGCAGAGGCCCAGGAAGTGGCGGCGCTGCACCCGCTGTTTAATGCACTTTTGTCACGCATCATAGCAGGAGTCATGCTGGAATGTCCTTCAAAGCAAGGGCATGGTCTTTCCTGCCCACTGCTCTAGTACATCTGTGCAGCTTTCACGTCAGCAGTCTGGTCCACGTAGCTATTGTTAAGCAGATCCGGAAGTTGAGTTCGTAATTTCTCAATGCATGAGCAACTCGGTTGTCCCAGGAAATAGCGCGTGAGAGGAGCAATGCTGCGAACTAGAGTACAGCTGTATAGGCATGAGCGGTCGCTCGACTTAGTCATCGTGCCGGCAGCTGGTGCTGATGCGGAAGCGGCAGCTATGGGTTTCATGCGCGCACTCATGCTAAGCCCATGCGGAGCCGAGCGCTAGGCTCACCTTCACCCAGCTCGGCAGTCTTAGAGACAAATTATCATAGGCCGTGTGCGACTGCCTTAAATAGTCTTTACAGACACACCTTACACTTGATACCTGAAGGTAAGTCGCAGGCCACGAGCACCGCCTGTCAAAAGGTCGCGGCTGCGCCACGATTAGTGACAGAGATCGATCCCAAATGAGTGCGAGATGTGATAAACAGCCATGAAAGTGCTGTTCAGGACGCGGAGCAGGGATGGTAACAAACGCCTCCAAAAGTCTAAGTTTGAGTGGTTTGATACGCTCAGGTCTCGCCACTACCGGCGCCGTGAGTGGTGGGCTGGGCGCGTGGGTCCACCTTTTGTGCCCTCGGGGGACAGTGAGCTCTGAGGCCGGGTGTCACCGCCGTGTGTCAAGCCAGGAGCTAGCTGGCTGATCATAGTAGTTGCTGCAGCTGTTATTAAGTTCCGATGCAAAGCATACCAGCTACCAATGGAACGTAGCAAGGTGATCTGAAAACGCGAAAAAACATTCCACGTGCCTTGAATTGACGATGCGTGATTATGACCACTTGTTTGCTTTCGCCATAGCGAGCTTTGGTAAACCAAGGGTGTTCACCCAAGCGCCACTGCATTTGACAAGTGTTATGCTCAGACAACACCTGATTCATTGGCCAGACCCAGCGGACGATAACGCCTGCCATTCTCCATCAGAACGGCCGTGGCCGGTTTCATCGCCGCGGCATGTATTAAGCATGCAGCGGACTGCGGCGCGCCTGCTCAGCGGGCAGCATGGACAGCGCTCCCCCGGCACGGGTAGCCCAAGGCCGCCGAGTCCGACGTCACGTCTGCCGGCCCGCTTCGCTCCGCCGACTGCAGCTCACGCCCCTGCGGCCACCGAGAGGGGAGCGCTCGCCGGCTGCAGTTCACGCCCCTGCGGCTCCTGAGAGGGGAGCGTTCGCCGACTGCAGCTCACGCCCCTGTGGCTCCTGAGAGGGAAGTGTTCGCCGACTGCGGATCACGTCCCTGCGGCTACCGGGAGGGGAGCGCTCGCCGGCTGCAGTTCACGCCCCTGCGGCCACCGAGAGGGGAGCGCTCGCCGGCTGCAGCTCACGCCCCTGCGGCCACCGAGGGGGGGGGGACGTTCGCCGGCTGTAGCTCACACCCCTGTGGCTCCTGAGCGCGGAGCGCTCACCGGCTGCAGCTCACGCCCCTGCGGCCACCGAGAGGGGGGCGCTCGCCGGCTGAGGTGAGCAGGGGGTGGTGCGAGCCGAGGGCGGCCGCCGGAGATCCGCCCTCCGTCGCCGGGCGGAAAGTCCGCTCCGGGTGAAGTCACCTGCTGCAGTGTAATAGTCTCCACCGAATGGAAGTCTGCAGCGTGCCCGCTGTGTTGACAGCGTCTTGAGGCGAGGCGCTTCGTCATAAGCAATTGGGATAGCAGTTAGTTTGCACACGTTCATGCAGCGATGTGTCTCGGCGTCGCTTTTTCCGTATGACGCGGTGGCGGCCTTGACGCTGCGCGGCGCCAGACGGGAGACCCCCCATGCAAGGATAGGCGACGGTCAGCAGCTGTTTTATGACCTCTTTAGCCACTGAAGATATTAGTGCAGCAATTACCTATGCCGACTGCCACAGGGAATACCTGAAACGTGGCTGATGGCAGCCCCGGACCCGCCCCTCTGGGCTATGCCAATATGCCAATAATGCCAAACATTATCGCACTGCGTAATGACGTTGCTATGCGCACTGGGTTGGGATTGGTCAGCTCCCATGTGCAGTTGCCGCATGATGCGCACCCTTCATAAAATGTGAGCCTCTTGGCATTTACTTTTGGAAAATATGAGCATGCAAATGGCACATAGACGAACGTGACTGCTCCGTGGCGTCCCGGCTCGCAGACGTGTGCATGGGGCCGCAAAAAGGTCCCACGATCCCATGAGCATGCAACCTTGTGGGGTGGTCCTGATCCATGCTTGGGATCTAGGTACAGGTCTGCCGGCTTGTCACCAGGCGTTATGAAAATATACATTCTTCACATAAGACGATGTGTTTACCAGTGGCGTACCCCAAAGCCGCCATTCGAAGTTGCTATTAGATGGTTGACGATAAAGGGTTTCCAAATACGGACCTCTTAATTTCCACTTGGTTTCGTGGGTGACTTAGAATTTGAGCACCTGCTAATTAAAGCTTGTTGGGTGTACCTTGAGCCCACCAACCAAGTCGCGCCATCCAAATCAACGGATGCTCTTGCCTCCGTCTTTTGGCCAGACGCAACTGCGGAGAGTCTCATGCGCGGCACGACGCCCTGACACGGAGCCGCCGCGGGCCTGGACTGGCACTCGTTGGCCGGCTGCCAGCTGACCTTTCGTGTCAGTCGGCCCAAATAATGTGCTCGCTGTGAGCCGGCTCCTCAGTACCATTGGATAAAGAGTCCGGCACCTTTCCCCTAGACCACAGACCACAGAGATGGTGTCGCTGGCATCACCCTTCTTCGTGTGACGGAACTGAAGACCGCAAAAACGTTGCGCCAGCTCATCAGCTTACACCTGTATACAGTAAACTGAGCAATGACGCAGAGCCCTGGCGCTCGGTACGGTTAGCTCTGTGCGCCAGTGTTCGTCACCAACTGGAGCTGTGAGCCTGGCACCACCGGCCGCGCTATCTCATCGGAAAGCCTTTTTGGTGCGATCCACGCGGAACAATGTGCTAACAGCTTATTCAGACGGAGTCACATGCACCTGTGCAAACGACTAATCTAGGGCCCCAACGCCTCTATTGTGGCTGCAGGAATGTGCTGAAGGTCTTATGCGCGGCGCAATGTCTCCGCGACGGGATGCGCGGATAAGAATCGGACCGACTGTCAGAATGCAAATACCTGCGTCCACAAGCCTTCTCGACTGCGGCAATCTCCTCCGGATCGCACAAACAGCTGATTATCGGAACCGGACGCCAGGACTAAGTTGTTGATTTCGTCGGCGCCGGGGACCGGCACGGGCCGGAGCGCGCGGGTCAGCGTCCACGAGGGGTCCCACCCGTCCCTCTCGCCCGACCGCAGCGCCGTACCGTGGACACCAGGGTTCTGATGAAGTCGTCGGCAGAGAACGTGCTTGAGGAGCCGGTCAGGCCCTCCTTCAGCAGCCGCTCCAGCTCCTTCAGGTGGCTGAGTCGCTTCTTGTCACGCAACGCCTCCACTTCCATGAGCGACATCTTGCGGGCGGGCGGCTGCGCGCCGGCCCCGCGTGGCCGGTACCGGGCATTCTCCGCCGGTGCTGGGCTGACTTTGCGCTTGTACGGCGCCGGGGAGCCGCCCGGTGACGGCGTCAGATGCGACCGCGACGACGCCGGCGACGACCGGCCGGCGCGCGGCGCATCATCGTCGCTGCCGTCGCGACCGGGCTCGGGCACCGCCAGCCGGCCGGGCGACGCGTCCTCCACCACCACGTGCTGCAGCTCGGCGCCCGTGCTCATCGTCGTCACCGCCGGTACCACGGCCGCCTGGGGCGCGCACTGCTCGTCTCGCAGCGCCAGAGCCTGCACTGGCGGCACAGCGGCGCGCCGGCCTGCCGCCAGGCCCCTGACGTCACACGCCTCCCGGCGGCGAGCGCGCGACGCCGCGGCGGGAAGTCCTGCGGCCGAGCCGGCCGGGCCGGCCCGCCTCCCCCGGTCGGCGCAGTCACCAAGCGCTCCCGCGGTGACGGCGTGTGGGACTTCCGCACCGCGATGCGTGGCGGGTGGGGTCTCTCCGCTGACCGCGGTCCCCGCCTGGCGGCGCCTCTGGTCCGGCACGCTGGCGAATCCGCCGTCAAGCCGGTTATATGCCCGGCATCCTGCTCGGCAGATGATCGCCTCGCACGCTCTCCTAAGTCATGTGGGAATCGCGTCCGGATCTGGGCGGGGAAGGAATAGCCGCACAAGGCTGCCGTTTGACCAAATATCTGCAATCTCGCAAGGTCACTGAGACGCAGCTTCGTCTCAGCTTCTGCGTGATGTCAACAGCTCAAGGTCATTCGATGCTTGTTATTGAAAACTGCGGCCGGTTAGGATGAACGACCATGACTCTGTGAAGGCGAGACCAGCCTCCATACCTAGCCAAGGTCGCTAAGAGAAAATGAGAGAGAGTGTGTTCAGGCTGAGAGGAGCTCGTTCCGCCGGTAATGTCAGGGAGGTGAGTGACAGCATCAGGTCAGCAGTTCCGAGGTTATTTCGGAGTTTTGTTCAAATTCCTTCAACGTAAGGTGTCAACGTCAGACTTACATGCTACAATGCGTAAAAATGCTAAGCAAAATATCTGTGCAGAGCGCAAAGTATGTGCGTTTATTCACACCTGACGGGGTGAACTGTCAGAAATGATCATGATGGTCAGTAAAGGGAGTGTCTCACATTTGTGTGGGGCTTTGACCTGAACTAAGCATCATGAAGATCATTCGATACAATTCACAGCCCTGCCCTTTTTAAGACCTAAAGCCCTCTACTTCTTAAGCCAAACATCTGTTAAGATGGGTGGATAATTTCGTGCAGACAATTTCAAGGTCACCCAGGCATCCATGCCACCATAATCACGTCATGCAAATCATGTTGTCTCATTGGCCATGCGCCGATCAAGGCCAGAACAAATGCAGTTGTGAAGTCGTTTGTATCTGGCGTCCGGGAGCACAATTTCCAGATATTGTGAACGTCGATAGGCTCTCAATCAATGTTGTGCTACGTACGATGACGCAATCAAACAATGATGTATCGGGGATCATTTATTCTAATTAGAAAAATGATCTTCCCTGGAGCGACATTCTCCACATAAAAGTATACTTAGTGTTATAAGTGAGCTTATTTCATCATATCTGATGTTTGATTCCTTATCTTCAAAAGTGGAACACTCCCTTCAAGTAAAATGATAGTCTGTAAGACGAGGGAGAGAGAGGGGGAGAGAGGGAAAGAGAGAGAGAGAGAGAGAGAGAGAGAGAGAGAGAGAGAAGAGAGAGAGAGGGAGCGAGAGAGAGAGAGAGAGAGAGGAGAGAGAGAGGACGAGAGAGGAGAGAGAGAGAGAGAGAGAGAGGAGAGAGAGAAGAGAAGAGAGGAGAGAGAGAGAAAGAAGAGAGGAGAGAGGAGAGAGAGAGAGGAGGAGAGGAGAGAGGAGAGAGAGAGAGAAGAGAGAGAGAGAGAGAGAGAGAGAGAGGAGAGCGAGAGAAAGAAAGAGAGAGAGAGAGGAAGAGAGGGAGAGAGAGAGAGAGAGGAGAGAGAGAGGAGAGAGAGAGAGAGAGAGAGAAGGAGAGAGAGAGAGAGAGAGAGAGAGGCACAGGAGCAGTGCATTTACTAACTCTTGATTTAGCTAAGGCGATCCTCTCACAGGGTGAGTAAATGTTCAGTGTCAGGACACTGTATGGCGGCTGTGGTCCCAAGTCACTGCCAGCATCCTATGTGATACAACTGCAGGAGCTGCCGGAACGCCGTTGGAAGCCCCAATCAGCCTTTCTATATTCGTTTCGTGATTATTAATGCGCTCTGACACATACGTTGCGGGACACACTACAGAACATTGCAAAATGAAAAATATTCGGGATGCATTGTTCAGAGACATCTTGAATATGTTAAGATTATTTAGAATATACATACGACGCATGTAAATGGATTCATTTTGATGGATTCGGAGCACATGGAAAATCGGCGGATGTCAGTTCGTTTGTCAACATTGCAGACGATATTGCTGCCAAATCTTAAAATTGCCACAGGACACATCAGATAGAAGGAAGCCGATGTTTTTACGCTCGTTTAGATGTCGATCATGCACCACACAAAGTGAATCGCATCTGCACCATTTTCGTAACCAACTTGGGCCGCATGACCATCCACACGGTCTACAATAAAGTCAGCTAGCTGAGTGGTGACAGAAAAACCACACCGTCGCGACACGCAGTGTGATTTGTACTGCCTAGATAGTGGCAATCCACACAGGTGATAAGCTGGTAAAGCAGTGAGAAGTTTTGGATGGTTGTAAATATTAAGCAAAAAACACCGATGATATTCCCCGGCCTCAGTAACGCCGTATGAAACGATAAAATCTCCGGTAACCGATTTTCCCTATTGAACACGTAATAACTGAAAACTACGCCATAAGGTGGGAATCTTAACCACCTCCTCATCCATATCCTTCCCAAGAAAGTTATCAAAGGTTTTCAGGGTCAAATGTCTTTCTAACGCCAAGAAAGCAAGCAAACCTGGTACTACTGTATAAGATGGTACAAGCAAGCATAAAGAAAAATTGCCATGCTAAAGCACCGCATCAGTTCATCACGCCCATCAGCTCGGTCTGAACCTAAATCATGGTAAAGAGTCGGATATCTTACACGCCCATCGATCAAGACATCCGCAGTTTTGTTTAATCTCGACATGATGAGTCTAGCGGACCCGATCGTGGACAAAGTTAAGAATATCCGAGAAATGATTATTTTACATCGCCTTTTGTTTTCAGGTACACTCACACCATCGCCAGAAGGCGCCAGAGGTGTGGAGCTATTGATTTACTGACTTCATTCCAAAACGAAGATGCATCATGGTAGCTACTTGATAATTTGTCTGACAAACTAAGCCTAGAGATTTTTTTAATTTCTAGCGCACCATCGTAGCGTGCGTTTAAAATGGAAATTGACCAAATGTAATTATTATAAATATAGCGATCGCACAGCGTATCCACAAAGTCCCACAAATATTACATATCATTCAGGGTGGCGTCTATTTTGGCGCGAGTCCATTCCAGCCCGCAATATTTTTATGCATCCGCCCATATCCTTCGTAGTATTAAGCTCAGAAGATGCAGTCAAACAGGACGCGATATCATAATAATACCTACCAATGTAATGTGGAGGGTAAGAAAGGAGTCTTGCTGACGTTGTAAAACATGTCATGGAACAGAGATAATGGTCAATCGCCCTTCAAGGCCTTTAGCACATGTTTTTAGTCCAATATGGTCATTAGGTGGCTAGCCAACCGCCCAAGCATAACACCTATCCGGCTCAGCAATAATTGCTTGACCAATGTGGCCAACAGATGACTAGTCGTCTACCCAAGTATAGCACCTGTCCGGCTCAGCAATAACTATATTCTCTGGATACCTTGGAACGCGTAGGGTAAAGGGTATGAAAAAAAGGTCAAAACTGGCTGCAGGGTAACAGTTGCAATTGCTTTAATTAAGCCTATAAAACATCGTGACCACACAGTATGATTAAGCCATGAGTGCGTACCATGTATATCATTGACAAGCGCCACAGACTCATTGGCAAGATCCCTTAATCAGCTGAGATTTGGGGCAAAAGTCCCTTAACTCATGACCGAAAACAGTTTGTTGATATCAGCACTAAAATCATCAAACGCGCAAATATCGGCATATTGCTGTTAAAACATTGCCTCAATCTTGCTCAAAATAGCATATATCTAATCCTCAACATTTCGTTGAGATTGTGTGGCAACACATCCCTAACAATAATATTTTTGTGGTGCCATAGTATTTATCATATTTATTAACCCGTCACCAATAGGTGACGGGTTTCACTTTTGAGGTTAGATGTTTGTTTCCTCATCACAGCAAAAACAATAACAAAAACGGAGTGCAACAGAAAGAAGAGCATGGTAAAGCAAAGTGAATCGTTGAGTCAGTCAAGACAGTGAAGACAAAGTAAGCCCTCCTCGTGAGACCTCGTGAACACAGAGTATGACCATGCCATGATTGCTTATCATGCCTATCATTAACATGCGTCACAGACTCATTAGCAGCCTACTTAACCAGCTGAGAAGCATGGTAAAGTCCCTTAACTGACGCCTGAAAGCAGAAGTGAAAAACAGATTGACGTCAGATTGACGTCAGAAAACAGGTTGTTTATCGATGTCACCGAACATCAAATGTGCAAACATAAGGGAATGAAACGCTTGACATATTGTCCGAACTTCGTTCGAAATAGTATATACTTGATCTCTAAAATTCGTTGAGAATTATGCGGTACACACACACACCTAACAGCATTTTGATGTTTTCAAAGTAACGTTAAGACTTAATTAATCTATAATCACCGCAGGTGACAGGTTTCGTTATTGACCTCAGATGTTTTTATCGCCATCATAGCAAAACAACTGAAAAAGCGGCGGGCAACGAAAGGCAGAGCATGGTAAAGCATAGCTAAACGCTGAGTCAAGCTAAGCTTCTGCTTTGACTGAGGGATGTTGAGACGGGCCTGGCCGTGCCTGATGGAAACATGCATGGACATGCGTAGCACAGCTCTGGTAAGCGCCGACGACTGGACTGCATAGCATCTGTTGATGCTGACCTCTGCCAGTCGCTACTTGGAGAATACGCCCGATGCTGTCCTCGTACAGTGTCTATTCGCTGGCACGCTGGAGGCTCAGCCCTTTACGTTCAGACTATAAGGCTGGAAGTCAGCCTGGAAATAAACGGAGACTACACTTTCCGAATTTTCTGAGTTCTGTGAGACTTCGTTTCGTTCCTGATTCATTCAGTTTACAAAGTGGTACCAGCTTTATCACAATTTGCATTCGCACTTGCGCGAAAATTTGCTTTAACAGAACAACAACTTGGCTACCAGCACAATTTCTTTATTTCTCCTTAATTAAATATCATCCAGTCCACGTACCGTCGTTGAAAAAAAATTATGGATTTGATTCTCTTTTGATGTTGACATTTGGGTGAGCTTTGACGTCACATCCCCAAGCATTAGGGTTTCTGCAAGTGAAACCATGCCTGCGATCCTCGCCAAGCTTCAGTAAGGCAATGCTATCGGTGAGAGGGCGAACTCGGTGGCATCTGTACAGGCGTCGATATCAAAGTGTAGGAACTGCAGCCATTTGTCATAATAAAATCATGAATAGATTTCATCGCTTTTACTATTAGCTGGAAGGGGCACCGATACGACTGAGCGTCCCCTTGCGCGGACCGATGAATACATGGCTCATCTTGAAAAGTCTGCAGGAGACGCCCCATGCAAACACATCAGCTCGCGTCGATATGCGGGCGGCGCAGCCGTCACCCGGCAGCGGGGACGTGAAGCTCTGGGCCGGCTTCAACGGCATCTGAACAAAGCATGGCCCAGCATGCAGGGAGATGGAACAGAAGGGGAAGCTTTTATTGCGGGATCTGGGGCGTCAAGGGTTGGAGCAAGCTTAGATCGCGAGTGCCCGCGTGCAACAGTATGCATCATGTCGAATGCATCACGGTACCTGACAGCAAGATACGAGGTATGACAAATATCGCACGAAAGAGCATCACTGCATGGTGGGCAGCGATGGCAGAGAGGATATACACATAGCAAGTGTTGGGAGAAAATGGTTATCCACAGAGGTTACTGTATCGAGCGATGAATACATATGCAGCCCGTCAGAGGTAGCGGTAGCAGTAGGTAGCGGTACCACCTTTTACAATTTATCAAGCAATACAAATGCTTTAAGACAGGGCACGCTCAAAACCTACTCTGGGCAAGAACTCCATGTGAAAGATCCCATTCCAAAAGAACTGCGAAAGAAGCTGTATACGATACCGGGTGCATTTGCGCTGCTTACACGCGAGCAAACCTAAACGCCTAAAGGTGGTGTGTCTAGAAGGGCAGGTGGCATTCGTGAATCATGGGTAAAATGAAATAGTTCCCTGAGCTGGTCACTGGCTTGAGTGTGTCGGCGATTTTGACCTATCCCAGGCTGGCCCTCACCGTAGAACACCCACGGTCTGGCCGGGGCGCTAAGGAATGGTCGAAACAAGGCTCTTCAATCCCTTTTACCGAACAATGTGTTCGGATTTTGGTTAAACATTTTTTTGGGATGACGCTGTCTGTACAGTTTAGTGTTATCTGTGTTGTTCGGTGTCATTTGTATTGCGTTAGGGCAAGAACGGCTGTAGACTGTACATAACCTCGGTACATTGTTTACTGCACTGAATGTCTTGCTTCTTTGTAGACTTCCGACTCTTTAATGCAGTCACAACTTTTTCTGAGGGATAGCCATTTCTCTCTTCTCATGCAAAAGTGTCGTCTTTGAACATAAGCTGCTGTTGATTTTTGTTGCAGTTATTCCAGTTTCGTCCTTCAGAATGCTGTTCAAAACGAGCAAAAATAACAAGTCATTTACTGATTAAATGATAAGAATTTCACCCACTCTTAGGCAAAAAAAATAACTAAGTATCCAGATAGATGTTTTCCCAAGCTACTGCAGCTAACATCATATGAGAATTTTCCTTCGCATTTGGTGTCATTGTTATTTCAATTAACGATGCTACAGATGGGTTTTGGCAGCGCCATGTACGATTGATTCATGTCTTCTTGTTTTTCCTATTTCGAGCATCTGCACCTGCTTCGGAGAAAGCAAGCAATAGCACGAGTCTGCTATGGATCAATTCTAAATGCGTGTATCGGTCAGCCAGTGTGTAATCATTTTCGATACGCTTCAGAAAAATATATTTATTGGATGTGTTACATAGAAATATTCGGAACCTGAATAAATTGCAATAACTGTTTAAGAACTGATTGAGCTGTGTGTTGTACTGAAATGAGACGAAAAACTTTAAACGTCGGATTAGGAGCCAGATAGCCTCAAATGGATTGAAACGCAATGATATTTCGACCACAGTTGGTAGCCCCAGCAAGTCTATGAAGGGCGAATGAGTGTTGTTGACATTAGGCAACCGATGGCACCGCAGATCCAGATAGGTAAAAATGGATTAATCCCGATAAGGTATGTTTCTGCAGTCAATTTGGGATTTAAAACTTTTGAAGTGAGAAGGAAGTTGAATTGCATGCAGATGTCATAAAGCTATTCATTCTCATGGATAAGACCGTAGTAATAGTCTTATTCCTCGGAGAAAAAGCAAGAGAGTGTAGACATAGTTGGATTGATATTTCGGCAACACGCCTTTATCGAAACAACAGCACTTCTCTTGTTTCGATAAAGGCATGTTGCCGAAATATCAACCCAACTATATTTCCATTTTCCTGGATTTCTCCGGGGAATAAGGCTATTACTACCGTCTTATCTATATGAATAATGTTCCTCGCTGATGCACTGAACAAGCCCCCATTTTGTTGATATCACCATCAGTTCAAATTTAACCACGTCATACAACATGTCCAACTGCCTCGTTGCATTATAACGCAGTATGATGCATGCTTATAGGTCGAATTCGTGTTTGGAGATCGACAACTAACGTAAAACTTCATATGTACGACAGAGGCAGGTATACATGTACGCAATCACCATCAAGTCATTCATGCCCTTTCTCTCAGTGGTCAAGTATGACCTAGGTGAGTTGAATTGGTGACGTGTGGACTTCCAGATCCTCGACGACACTGGCTTTCACCTGTTATTTCATTTTAACCCGATGGCTATCTGAATTCGATCAGGATCCGACTCTTCAAATGATACTGGGCAGGAAAAGTAGCATCACTGGTCAAAATTGCTACTTCATTATGATACGGCTTAGAGTAATGTTGAATTATGTTTTGTAAATAAATCACGTTAGATATCAATCTCAAGGAAATGAAACTGTTAGTAACTATCTTTTTGTTCCTATGGTATTGCAGAAGTGGGAGTCGCGGGCAAAGCACGTTGATTTGCGGGTTGCAACACGCTGAAATATATTGGATATAAAAAAGCCCAAAGGTAAAGCGTCTTAGTAACGTATTTGACGGGATGACATTGGAATAAGGATTCGTAGAAAACGCGGATTGCAGAGTGAAATCTATTTAAAACTGCTGTGTCGCGCTGGAGTGGGTCCTGCAATTCTAACCTATTGCAATCACAAGACCTGTCTTGCACGAATGCTATGCTTCACTCGGGTGGCTGTCGAGTGAGCGGAGCATCCACCTTCGCCAAGTAGACTTTTCTAGCCACGCTTGCCTGGCCGCGCTTCGAGCTCTGCCTGGCGGCTCCGATGCCGCAGCGGAGGCGAGCGGCGGCCCTGCGGCGGGTCCCGCGACGGCTCCCCTGTCCCGGAGCACGCTGCCCGCTGCCGTGACTGGTTCTGCAGCTGTACCTATGCTTGGGTGCATTAGCAGCGAGTCTGCCGCGCTTCAGCTGAGATTCCTGCGCCTGCTCTAGCGCCGCTCTGGGCCCGGCTAGCGGGCCCGACCGCGGGCCGGCCATCCCCTGGGCATGACGCAATAGCAGTCGATGTCGGGTATCCACCACGGGGTAGTATTTCCCACCGCCGGGAATTGACGACCCCCGCGGTACAGCGGCCGCGTTCGTGGAGCTCGGGTGTCGCTGCTGGACACGGGGCATTCCAACAAACGAAATGGGATCGGCTGGGTCGGCTGTCGTTTACACTCGCCGCGTCCCTATCGGCAGGTGGTGGGAATGCATCGTTCAGCGATTCCGGGGTGTCTTGCCCCGTTTTCCGGCGTCCGAGCGGAGCCGGAGCGATCAAGTAAGCGCTTGATTCGACTGGCCGAGGGTAAGATCGGAGAAGATTACCACGTCATGCTAATTTACAGGAGGAAAGCTCTATAAAAGCCCAATACATATGGATGAAAAGCAGTCAATGAGGTCGAACTGGTGAGTATAAACTGCCCCATCATACCGTTGTGAAGGTTAGAAATGGCCTTCATCAGTGAAACTGGCTGCATTCCTTCTTTCCCCTCACCTCCACTCCAGCCACCATAATGTCAACGTCAACGGCCCTTATAAAAGATAGCCACGACGGCCAGATATACGACATGCAGCAGCTGGGGCCCAGCACCAAGACGAGTACTCACATTGAAGACGGTGGCGGCCGGGTTGAAGGCGTCGCCGCGACGTGACTTCAGGGCGTACTTCCCCTTGAGGTTGAAGAACTTCTCCACGATCCAGCCGATGGCCTTCTTCACCAGGTCTCCGATGATGCCGATGCCGCCCGAGCCGGGATTGGAGTTCAGCGTGTGTCCCACCGCCGTCTTGAACATGTCGCCCATGGCGTTGCCACCCTTGGTGACGTCCGACTGGTTACCCATGTTCTTGCCGCCCGAGAGGGCGCCGATGATGGTGCCCAGGAGGTTACCGCTGGCGGCATTGCCGCCGCCCTGGCCGTGGCCGCCGCCAGCGCCGCTGACAGCGCCCGAGATGAGGCCCTGCAGGAGGCCTGCGGCGCCGCCGCCACCTCCGCCGCCGCCGCCGCCACCCAGAGCGTTGCCGAACGCCGACTGGATGAGGGATCCCATGTTGACACCGCCCACACCCTTGCCGCCGTGCTTCATGGAGGGATGGGCGGGCGCCGCGCCGCCGCCTCCTCCGCCGCCGCCGCCGCCGATCATGCCCATGATGCCACCCAGGATGTCGGAGGCGCCGCCGCCGCCGCCCTGGCCGCCGTACCCGCCGCCGCCGCCGCCGCCTCCACCGCTGCAACGAAGGCACAGGAGACGGGCGTTAAGCGACACGTCACGGCACGAACACGACGCTCTGGGTGTCATCGAACGGTGCGCGGCAGCCGGCGACGGTCCAATGTCAGCGATGAGATGTCATCTCTGTCACATTAAAACAAACTTCGCATAAAGAGATTCGAAGGCAAATGCGGCCTTGGAAACACCAGTCCACAAAGGGGCAATGTTCGTAACGCGAATGCCCGTAACCACAAATGCTCATCCATGCGATTTCTTCAAGATTGTTCGCATGTGCAAACATTTGTTATTGACTGATGTGCTGCAAGATTCATATGGAGGTATCTCTCATGCAATATGTGCTGCTACGCTCGGGAACACTTCCGGCCCATGCGCCAATAGCTGCATACGTTGATGGCACCTAGGACCCTTAACTGATGTGTAAATCAATGTGCTGCCTCAACGTAAGTCAATCACAAATGAGCATGCGAAACGAGCCCAACCAAGCAGCCCCCCCCCCAAAAAAAAAACAAGATGCGCTGAAAACTTGGGTCAAGTTTTTCACAAATGTGACGCATCAGACGTGCAAGTTTTCATTATCCTCAGGTTGGGTGGCTTCGTCATCCTTCCTACTACCTCCGTGCGATGAGTATACGCCTAATGGACCATAGCATGACATCCCTTTGGTTGGTCTGTCGGGGAACGTCGCACGAGTTCAGATCGCTTCTTGTCTGTCTTCATGTGGTAGTGCAAATGGCTGGAGTCATATCATGACATAGACCATGGAACATCATGAACTTACAGCTGATTTATACCTTACACGGCCATTGAAACTCCAAAATATATACTCTGACGCTGCTATGGGATACTTTAACAGCTTCGCTGTAAAGTACTCCTGAAATTGTTGCGGGAGATATTTACGACTTGAACCGGCGTGAAATTGGTCGTAAAGTGCCGTAAGGTCGCGATCGGCATGACCGGTGTACATGTCCTACATAGTCGCCGACAGGCTAGTGGTCGGCGACTATGGTAAATGATCAAATGAGCCAGAGCCGCCGACACGAGCATACACCAAACTGATGAAAAACATTTGACGGATGGTCTGTCGGTCAAGTCAAGCTTCAGGACTTGACCTCATAAGCCATCCATCCGTTAGCTGTAGGCCTCCAGCCGACCATCCCTGCAGCGTATCGCCACTGTAGTCCGGCTGGTACAGCGACGAGCCCTCTGACCGGTACGTGACAGACATGTGGGATCGCGTCCCAGAGCGGCGCTCGTGGCAGACATGTGGGATCGCGTCCCACAGAGGCGCTTGTGGCAGACATGTGGGATCGCGCCCCAGAGCGGCGCTCGAGCGGCTCGTCCTTGAGGGCGAATTGGCGACGGGCCAAGATCAGGCGGACAGCGGCAGCGACGATCCCGTCGCGCCGGGAAGCAGCGAGTCGGAAAAATATGTCAGTTGAACTCAAACTGCTCTCCTGGGCCGGATGTCAACGTCTTCGTGACAACTGCAGCTACTATGGATAGTGATCCCGAAGCCATCCATGTAGAACATTCGATGAAGATTTCCAATAAAAAGATGTCGCTCGGCTCCAATTCCAACCAATTCTACCAGACTTATCAGAGCAGGCTGTTCCCACCGCCTCGGTGAACAAGAACTGTGGACCCGGTGCAAGGCAACCAGAATCTAACAACATTCACGGGAAGGCCAGAGTGGACAGGTTTGGGCGACATGAACTGGGCGTCAGTTCCGGTCCCGGACCCTCGCAGCCGTGGCCGACACCGAGTTTCGGCCTCGGGGTGTTTTCGCGCCGCCGCCGCCCCCCACCCGGCTGTTCCGAGCCCGTCGGACGACAGCCGTCCGGAGCCAGCACCCGCACTCGGAGGGTGGGGGACTGCCCGCGGCAGGTGCCCGCCCCAGTGTCGGCACCGCGTCTCCGCCGCCGCCCGGCGCACCGCACTTGGCCGGACGGCCCAGGGGCGTCGCCGGAGCGTGGGCTGCGCGCACGGCTGCCAGCCGGTCCGGCGTCAGCGCACCACAGGACAGCCCGCGCACGCACCGTCGCCTCCATCCATGGCCTCCGGCGTCGGCCACAGCCGGCCCTTGCGGCCGGCTGCCAGTCGCTGCCCGGCGCGCCCGGATCGTCCCAGGACAGCCAGAAACGTAAACATGAAGCGGTGCAAACGGGTGAAGTACGCCTCGATGTCTGTAGCTTGGGGACCACGACAGAGATGTGGATCACCAGCCAGGAGCTTAATGCAATGTCGTAACGAAAATCCGAAATTGTGGCATCTGGCAGCAAAATAGGCACTCGGCCCCCCGCCAACGGCCAAACGCACAGACAGGTGCGCCGAAAAGGGACATCGGCGGCACACACCCCAGCCAGCCAGCCCGACGGCTGAAGATGATCGGGCGCCTGTCTGTGTAGTGTCCAGCATTTGCACGGAGCTGGAGCCAATCTCCAAAGAACACACAGGCCGATCTTCAGAGTATGCTGGTTGGATGTCACCACTACCGCAGCTGACCTCCTGAGACACACAAACAAACAAGATTTCCCTGCGAGTGTTTGAACAAACACACGCAAGAACCCAAAAGAACTTATGAAGCGAAATTCAAAGGTGCTACGAATCCCCCATAAGCAGACACAGACAAATAATTCACAACTGGCAGGAACGAAAGTATCATCCCAAACAAGCCCATCTGGAGACAACCCTGTCGAAAGGCACAGTAAAGCCAGATAAGCAGTGCACATCCCGACAACGGACGGTGTGGACTTGACATTGTGTAGTGCCATCACTTCATGCATGATCACAATAATTGTGCAAGATTCCTTCTTGGTGATGCAAAGCACATGTCCAACCAAATACGAATGGCGCCCGTGTCTAAACAAAGTGATATTAACCCTCTACCCTTCCCATTCTGGATCTCATGCTGCGAAGGATAGACGCAAATGCAGTGCGCATGCGCGATCCGACCACCGCTGTGGACGCCGACGCGCCGCCCCACTCACCCTCCACCGAGAAACTGTCCCGATCAACTGGGTAGGGTCGAACCCTCCCCCTCCTCCTCCGCCGCCGCCGCCGCCCTGGTTCTGTCGGTGTGGCGCGTGGGGTTAAAGGACGAGTCCTTGGCCGGGCAGCGCGGGTACATCTTCCACCGCTGCTGCCGCCTCCGCCGACGCCGCGTAGTACCTGTTGCGCTCCTCGTCCGGCGGGTCGTCCCGCGTCTTGTTGGACATGCGCCCGATGATGTCGTCCATGCCACCTGCCACCACTGCTGCCGCCGCCGCCGCCGCCGCCGCCGAAGTGCTTTCACGCCGGCTCCAATGATGTCGCCAGACCAGGGTGCACCAGCCTCCACCTGCGGACGAGGTAACAGGGTGGATTCAGAGTGGCACAGGCTGCCACCTGGGAACAAGGGACTGATCACAACGGGATTGGTCACAACGGGACTGGTCACAACGATCACCCACAGGTCCGAAGCTGGAACAGAGACAACAGGTGCTACTGGCCGCCATATGGGGACCTGGCAACGGGACCCTCACGCTCCTATTGAGGGAGTTGGTGTTAATGTGTAGGTAATGTGATGCCCCGGAGACTGACATTTACGCAACCGCATAGGTCGAGCGCAGTCGGCGTTGTTGGGGCTCAACGACTCACTCAGCTGCTGAGGCCATATGGCGTCGCCTCGCTCTCATCCTGGCAGGAAGGGCGGTCGGGTCGATCTTCACTACACATCGCCACGCCCCGGGCGCCAAACCGTCCTTACAGGAGTGAGTGAGGCCTTGGGGACAACGATGACCCTGCCTTATCCTGTCATCTTCCATAACCGTAAGGCTACGTTCAGTCACTTTTATCTATCCATGGTGAGAGGAGATCGGTGGTTAGAACCAAACGAATACGACCCTCCCCAGCTAATTAGGAGCAGTACCGTCATCGGACCACAAACACTGTCGCCGTCGGTCCAGCCGCGTCTCTGTGTACATGGTTACTCCTCGTGCGTCGCTCACGTCCATCCTGACCGTCGTCCTGGATGTTATCGATGACTTCGTTAGCCACGGCTCCCACGAGGTCACCGAAAAACCCTCCGCCTCCTCCGCCACGACGGTCATCTCTGTAACGTAAGATTGACAGCAGGGTTAGCGACGGTCCAACAGACAGGTCAGGCGGCACCTGCATAACGCTCCGGTTCTCTTGGAGCGGGACTCCCGAGTGACACGCAGGGATGGTCACCGGTATACAGGTGTACAGCCCCAGGTACACAGGTAATAGATGTAAGCATAACTCCTAACTACTGCACAGCTTCACGCAGGTGATGCCCGGCGGTATACAGATGTACAGCCCCAGGTACACAGGTAATAGATGTAAGCATAACTCCCAACTACTGCACAGCTTCACGCAGGTGATGGCCCGCGGTATACAGATGTACAGCCCCAGGTACACAGGTAATAGATGTAAGTATAACTCCTAACTACTGCACAGCTTCACGCAGGTGATGCCCGGCGGTATACAGATGTACAGCCCCAGGTACACAGGTAATAGATGTAAGTATAACTCCTAACTATGCACAGCTTCACGCAGGTGATGGTCAGCGTATACGTGTACAGCCCCAGGTACATAGGTAATAGATGTAAGTATAACTCCCAACTATGCACAGCTTCACGCAGGTGATGGTCACCCGTATACAGGTGTACAGCCCCAGGTACACAGGTAATAGATGTAAGCATAACTCCTAACTACTGCACAGCTTCACGCAGGTGATGGTCACCGGTATACAGGTGTACAGCCCCAGGTACACAGGTAATAGATGTAAGCATAACTCCTAACTACTGCACAGCTTCACGCAGGTGATGCCCGGCGGTATACAGATGTACAGCCCCAGGTACACAGGTAATAGATGTAAGCATAACTCCCAACTACTGCACAGCTTCACGCAGGTGATGCCCGGCGGTATACAGATGTACAGCCCCAGGTACACAGGTAATAGATGTAAGTATAACTCCTAACTACTGCACAGCTTCACGCAGGTGATGGCCAGCGGTATACCGATGTACAGCCCCCGGTACATAGGTAATAGATGTAAGTATAACTCCCAACTAATGTACAGCTTCACGCAGGTGATGGTCACCCGTATAAAGGTGTACAGCCCCAGGTACATAGGTAATAGATGTAAGTATAACTCCTAACTACTGCACAGCTTCACGCAGGTGATGGTCACCCGTATACAGATGTACAGCCCCAGGTACACAGGTAATAGATGTAAGCATAACTCCCAACTACTGCACAGCTTCACGCAGGTGATGGTCACCCGTATACAGATGTACAGCCCCAGGTACACAGGTAATAGATGTAAGTATAACTCCTAACTACTGCACAGCTTCACGCAGGTGATGCCCGGCGGTATACAGATGTACAGCCCCAGGTACACAGGTAATAGATGTAAGTATAACTCCTAACTACTGCACAGCTTCACGCAGGTGATGGCCAGCGGTATACCGATGTACAGCCCCCGGTACATAGGTAATAGATGTAAGTATAACTCCTAACTACTGCACAGCTTCACACAGGTGATGGTCACCCGTATACAGATGTACAGCCCCAGGTACACAGGTAATAGATGTAAGTATAACTCCTAACTACTGCACAGCTTCACGCAGGTGATGCCGGCGGTAACTTTACCGACTGTACAGCCCCAGGTACACAGGTAATAGATGTAAGTATAAACTCCTAACTTACTGCACCGCTTCACGCAGGTGATGGCCAGCGGTTTATACCGATGTACAGCCCCCCTGGTACATAGGTAATAGATGTAAGTATAACTCCCAACTAATGTACAGCTTCACGCAGGTGATGGTCACCCGTATAAAGGTGTACAGCCCCATTGGTACATAGGTAATGGATGTAAGTATAACCTCCCTAACTACTGCACAGCTTCACGCAGGTGATGGTCACCCGTATACAGATGTACAGCCCCAGGTACACAGGTAATAGATGTAAGCATAACTACCAACTACTGCACAGCTTCACGCAGGTGATGGTCACCCGTATTACAGATGTACAGCCCCAGGTACACAGGTAAATAGATGTAGTATAAACTCCTAACTACTGCACAGCTTCACGCAGGTGATGCCCGGCGGTATACAGATGTACAGCCCCAGGTACACAGGTAATAGATGAAGTATAACTCCTAACTACTGCACAGCTTCACGCAGGTGATGGCCAGCGGTATACCGATGTACAGCCCCCGGTACATAGGTAATAGATGTAAGTATAACTCCTAACTACTGCACAGCTTCACGCAGGTGATGGTCACCCGTATACAGATGTACAGCCCCAGGTACACAGGTAATAGATGTAAGCATAACTCCCAACTACTGCACAGCTTCACGCAGGTGATGGTCACCCGTATACAGGTGTACAGCCCCAGGTACACAGGTAATAGATGTAAGCATAACTCCCAACTACTGCACAGCTTCACGCAGGTGATGCCCGGCGGTATACAGATGTACAGCCCCAGGTGCACAGGTAATAGATGTAAGTATAACTCCTAACTACTGCACAGCTTCACGCAGGTGATACCCTGCAGTATACAGATGTACAGCCCCAGGTGCATAGGTAATAGATGTAAGTATAACCCCCAACTACTGCACAGCTTCACGCAGGTGATGGTCACCGGTATACAGATGTACAGCCCCAGGTACATAGGTAATAGATGTAAGTATAACTCCCAACTAATGTACAGCTCAGGTGCCAGCAATACATAGCAGAAGACTCCATTTGACAACGAATATGACTGCCAATGACACTTCACCATGGCTCTATTTGTATAGGACGCGCTGTCACCAGAACAAATATTTGGGCTACAATAGCCCTTTGTGAAAGGAGAGACAGTTCCTAATCACCGTATCGTCATGGATGTTTTCCGTCTCGACATTCTGAAGGTGTCGTTTCCATTCCAATCTTGGCAAAAATGCCCTGCCCATCATAGGCAAGCATGCGTTTTCATGAGACCAAGAGTCCTCCAATCGGTGTGTACTTGTGCCAGACCGCTCTGACGGGGCTTCGAGCAGCGGACGGACAAGGCGCACGACCCTGTCTTCGTGACAGATAACACTGATGTACCTATGCGCATGTCAGATGATTTAAATAGTGTATCTCAACGCAACCGACAGGTAACTGGGCATGAATAAACAACGGAGTGATGCAACCGCATTCACGCATCGGCATTACCAACCGCTGACGACGTCAAGTTAAAAAAGGTCCCAAATCGATACGGCTGAACTGTCTCCGTCGCCACTGCAATGCAGACCTGGTATTGACCGCTTCCTAGCTTCAGTTTCGAGAACAGAGCCCTGTCTGACGTGGAAAGCATGGGGTCGAGCCAAACTAGCGTCAAACGCTGTGTCAGGTCACTAATCGACCTGCCACCCTGCATATCTCGAATTCGAAACGTGTAATTAACAATAGTCCCTCACCCTCACAAACACCCTCATTCCATGTTGGTTCTCAACTGATCGGTGGTTCGCCACCGCCCTACACGAGCTCGCTTCGGTTGGGCAGCACCACGATCAGACTTCTCGGCCACGCGACCTCACAGATGATACAGGATCCCGCGGACCGCGACCTCCCTTCCTCCCTCCCCTCTTGAAACCTGCTGGGCGTTGCCAGACGAAAGGACTTCAGTAAATAAGACGCCGCACGACGCGCCCCCATGTAAGCAGCCAGACTGCGGTGCTTGGGCGCCTCGGTCCTCCGGCTGGGTGGTCGCACAATGGTCCCTTTCGCGGCTAGCAGAGCCTTATTCGCCTCGCGCACGTCATGGCAGCGTCTGAGAGGTCTCCGCCAACAACTTAACAATTAACATATTCGTACCTTATCTCACATGTCTCTTTGGACGCCGGTCCATCCGCACGATCAGTCGATGAACTTGCCTAGCACGATCAAACCAGGCACACAACCCAGGGCGGTCTGTCAGATCAATACAATCAGCCGAACTGCTCCGGCCAGCTGTCCTCGGAGTGGCCGTGCTGCTCCGGCCAGCTGTCCTCGGAGAGGTCGACGGCTCCCGATCGCGTTGTTGAACGCCATTATTCGCAACTGGTATAACAATTCACACAGCCCCTGTCAACGTCAAGGAAAGCCGAGATATTTCGAGATGCAGGCTTGGGCTAGCCAACCGCCACTGTTTGACGGGGTTGTTACCAGAGCAGCCCTGTGCTCATTGCACGCGACCTAATGGACCGCCTCACCACGAGCGATCTGGTGCACGTCGCATGTGAACGACAGTATTATCCCATTCTCGGGAGCTCCGACATTCCCGACCTCGTCTCTCCATCCCCTTAAATCTTCGAGCGTCGCCGCGTCGTTCGTTTGAAGGAATTCGCATCTTACTAAACCCGCAGAAATTAATAACCTACAACTTGCAGAGCTTTAGCGCGTTACAATCAGCGCTTTGCACAATCTACGTGCACAAAGTTGCTCCCGAAGACCGTGACCTGTCTGGCTCCGGTTCGCGCCAACCCGCCAGCCAGCCAAACACCCGGGCGCACGGCCGCAGGGTTGCGCACCTCCAGAGAGCAGAACTCTGCTGACATGCCGACACCGAATTAAGAAGCAGCCGTTTCCATCCATTCGGAACAGCCAGCTGCGTTAAAGATAAGAACAGGCAGCTTACTGTGAAAGTGAAAGGCATCGTACGGTCGTGCTTACAACCACCGAACTATCCGAGCCTCTAAACAAGACTATGCGTGTATTTCGTGCAAGAATGCGTCTCAAGCGCCGATTCTCCGCATTTTGGCAGCGCAGACTTTTGAAAATGAGCCACATGTCGGTGCACTTAAACACAGTGGAAGTCTGAGCTCTAACGTGCACAGAATTCTCAAATCAGCCAGCCAAGTTTCAGCACCACACACCGAATGGTTTGGAAGGTTACTCCGAAACATTTATTAGGTGCACTAACTATCCTGACAGCCACTGAACCGCTCACCAATGACGCAGACTTCACTTCGTGAATACTTAACACTAACGGTCCGACGGCTCCCACCCCGAACTGAAAGCCCAGAACTGAACCGCTGGCTGGCACTGAAGCGCTCACGAGTGGCGAGGGCCTCACTTCGGCCTCACTTCGGAATACTTTAAACGAAGGGCCCCGCCCTGAACAAGTCCGCCAAACCATGACGAATAGGTGATGCACGTGTTCCCCGAAAGTGTGGCCCACGCATGAAGGCCATCGTGCTGGCACGGTGCCATCACTACCGGCACCGGTCAGCGCTGCACCAGCATGCATACATGCATCTGGCGTGTTGCTATGCGACCGAACTAAGCCGCGCTGCCCCCTGTCAGAAGAAGTCGGCCGCGCCGCCGTCGCTGGGAATGCCCTCAGGCGTGACGGTCTGGCCAAGGTCACGTGTCGTGGGCGGCGCGGCGCTGCGCCGCTCGTCGCCAGCGCCAAGCGCCCTCCCCCCCCCCCCCCCGCCCGCCGGCCGCGGCGCGGCGGCCCCCGCGCGTGACGTAACCGCCGCGCCGCGCACCGCTCGCTCGCGGGCGACAGGCACACCCCCGGCCCAGTCCCGGAACCAGCCTGGCCCGCGCGGCGATCCGGTGCGTCAGCACGTGGGCGTGGGCGGGCGAGTACGAGCACACGCGGCCGGGCCGGCCGGCCGGCACCGCTTACTACAGGTGGGCAGCGTGTCGGTAGTAACGACGCTCATTATCCGACAGGGCACACAGGCTGACGATTGGCTCGAGACATAGTACACAGCCGCCGATTAGCTGTACCAACGGGCACAAGTGTAGTCCGGTCGATCAAATGTTTGCGAAGCGGCAACATTGGGACTCGGATTGAGGTGCTATAACCTATCAGTCTGATTTTCGCAGATGAAAATAAGACTGATAAGTTGTAGCGCCTATCAGTGGTAGGTGCCATAACCTACCACTGTGGTGCCCAGTGATCATACAACTTATGTGAATGTATTTAATGGACCTGTGGTGATGAAGGAAAAGTGATTCCTTCACGAGCCTGGACAAAGCCCCTGCTAATACGTAATTTACATGGCATGCTGACAGGTTGAATTGTAATGCAGGTTTAGAGCAGCAGAAACATGCGAAAGGTAGTCAAGTTTGCACCATCTCATCATGTAGAGCATGAATTCCTAACAGCTCTGCTACGCATCCACATAAGTCACAGCGAAGAAGAACGTAAGTGATGCGCGTTAACTCTGTGGGTTTCTTAGCAGTGGCTCTTTGCAAAATTGAGCTAGCAAGCGTAACGTCACATTAGAAGAATAGGTTACATACTCCGAACTGAATTATGACTTATACCATGCGGTCTCAGTCTCTAGACTACCGCCGGAAGTTTGCGTACCTGCGACGATATTAACTGCCTTAGTAACTCCGACGACGGTAATGACTTTCGCAACGACTGACTTATCTTTACGTTGAGCATCTGGGGCGTGTCTGCGTCGACCAAACCACCAAACGAAATCGCATCGATGTTTGTCCATCGCGCAAACATAAAAACACAGTCCATCTTTTACGTATTCCGTCTTGGGCCGCCGCGCGGGGCTGTGCTGCTGCCGCGTGTGCCATAACAACAGGGGCGTGAGTCTGGCCGCCGGAAGCAGCGGGAGCTGAGACTGGCCTCCGGCACGAGCGGCCTCCGGCCCGGGCCGGGGCAGCGGGAGCTGGGGGACTGGTCTCCGGCCCGAGCGCGCCATCCGGCCCGGGCCGGGGCAGCGGGAGATGGGACTGGTCTCCGGCCCGGGCCGGCAGCGAGAGCTGGGACTGCCTCCGGCACGGGCCGGGGCCAGCGGGAGCTGGACTGGACCTTCGGCCCGGGCCAGAGCAGCGGGAGCTGGGACTGGCCTCCGGCCCGGGCCAGAGCAGCGGGAGCTGGGACTGGCCTCCGGCCCGAGCGGCCTCCGGCCTGGGCCGGAGCAGCGGGAGCTGGGACTGGCCTCCGGCCCGAGCGGCCCCCGGCCGGGCCGGGGGCAAGCGGGAGCTGGGACTGGTCTCCGGCCCGGGCCGGGGCAAGCGGGAGCTGGGACTGGCCTCCGGCCGGGCCGGGGGCAGCGGGAGCTGGGACTGGCCTTCGGACCGGGCCAGAGCAGCGGGAAGCTGGGACTGGCCTCCGGCCCGGCGCCAGAGCAGCGGGAGCTGGGACTGCACTCCGGCCCGAGCGGCCTCCGGCCTGGGCCGGAGCAGCGGGAGCTGGGACTGGCCTCCGGCCCGAGCGGCCTCCGGCCCGGGCCGGGGGCAGCGGGAGCTGGGACTGGCCTCCGGCCCGAGAGCGGCCTCCGGCCCGGGCCGGGGCAGCGGGAGCTGGGACTGGGCCTCCGGCCCGGGCCAGAGCAGCGGGAGCTGGGACTGGCCTCCGGCCCGGGCCAGAGCAGCGGGAGCTGGGACGGGCCTGGCCGCCGGCGCACAGCGAAGACCGACGCCGCCGGAGTCGGCCGCGGGCGGAAGAGCGCCGCCGCCGCCGCCCGCCGCCGATCGATATGGCCCGAGGCTGAGTCGAGGTCGGATGGAGGTCGGGTCCGACCCACCGACGGACCCAAAACAGGCTGCAACCGGGCCCCCGGCACAAACACCGACATCGACCCACCGCCCCGCGCCCAGGCACTACTTCCCACTGATTGTCATCGACCCGCGAAACGCCGCTGCACGACACGTGCCGACGTCAAGCGTCAAGCCGACAGCGTTCGCCATCGATCGTCAAGTCAACCTGCTGATCGCCCGCTGTCCGCAGTGAAAGCCTTCCGGCGTGTGTCAGCCGCGTACTGTGATACTCGGCGCTCCATATCGCCCTTCAACACACAAACCGAGCTCCCCGTGTGGGTGTTTGCATTCGACAATTGTCTCGCGTGTTTAGAACATGAGCATGTCAACACCAGTGAATGGACAACTTCACGCTGCAGTTACGCCAGTTCTGCATGCACGTATGGAGCGGGCATAACACGCACCTGACTTTAAAGCAAACCGTAAATGTGGTGTTGAAAGTTACAAAACATCATCAATACCGTGCATTGTTCTGACTCACACGTCAGCTTAGCATGCGTTTCGCTCTCCAGCTCCCTGGCCTTGGCTGGCGGGAAAAGCGTGACAAAGCCTCAACTCGTCAGTGTTTCCTCGCCTCAGCGCAGCAGGTTGGCAGCGGAGGATTACGCGGCACGCCCAGACGTCTGATTACAGCACGTCGAGCGGTGGATATACGATGGTGTGCCCCAAACGAAAACACGCCGCTGGTCGCTTAAGGAGACTACAGGCACGTTCAAAATCCCTGATTAATTTGAATATAGCTATGCTGGGTAGGTAGCCCATTCTGCAATGGGTATCAGAGTATTTAGGAAGCATGTTTTCCGGCGGCTCCCTCCGGTGCGACTACGTTACAGTCAGGCGAACTACAGTGCGGGGCTCCCTCCAGTGAGACTACGTTACAGTGAGGCGAACTACAGCGTGGGCTCCCTCCAGTGAGACTACATACAGTGAGGTGAACTACAGCGCGGGTGACCTACAGACCTCGCGCAGGAGCCAGCTCAATATCGCGTGCCGGCTGCCCGTGTCGGGAGCCGGCCACCGAGTCATCACGCATCGACCCACGCCACACTACCCTGGCACGTCCAGTTCCACTCACCCGCCTCCGAACAGGAACGACATGGTGGGCGTGTGCTGGCGCCGCCGGCCGGTCCACCGTCTGCCGCACTCCTGTAACGCACGGACGGAGCGTCACCCGCTGCCACGCCCACGCGAGCTGCCACTGCGGCCAGCTGGCGCACCGCGGCACCTCGCACGGCGCTGTCCGCCGCCGCCCGCCGCCGCCAGCGGCGCACGAATACCATAGGCGTGACCGCAGGTCGACGGGCGAGGGGGGCGACGCGCATGGGCGCGTCCAGGCACAGCGGTGGGGAGGGACAGAGGGTCGCCGAGGGCAGCCATATCTGGGAGGAGTTCAGTGTGGGGACCGCGATGGACGGGCGACCACGTGGCCACGCGGAGCTCACGGCCGAGTCCAGGTCGAGCGCTGGTCCCGACATGGACTCGTTCGACTTCACCCACTGTGGCAAGTAATCGCTGCAGGAAGACCACGTCGCCACTGTGCGACCGACTGTTCCGACTCCACCCAGAGCAGCACTGACAGCCAGGGGCGACTCTAGGTCGAGGGCTCATCAAACTGACGTCACCAAAGGCAGGATCACACCGTGTCTTGGCTCCGCGGCAGGACTCAGACTAGGCGGAATGCACATGACATCCCGTGGGTGGCCCGAAGGAGTTGTGAAACAACGGATAAGCCAGTCGCTCAGCAGGGAAGCACGTGGGTCTGCCCCGCCCCCTGGGGGCGCCACCTGACTCCCGAGATCCCAATCCCGGCGTGGCTGGACGTGGGAGAGAGGCATCGATCCTGCCCGCCCATCACACGCACGAGCGGTCCCTGGCATGGATGGCCTTGGCGATTACCAGCTGACTGGCGTGGCAGATGAGGGACATTGGACTTCGTTCACGCTAGAGCAAGGCTTGCAGCTTATACGGAGAACACCTCAACTTACATTCGCGGGAAGATCTGATCATGCGCCGAAATGTTGACGGCTAGACAGCGCACTTGATACGCATGATAAGGAGGTAGGTACGACGGAAACTTATCAAATCCACGGCGTGGCCTTCCCAAATCGGGAGCAAAGTGAAAGCTACTAGAGTTACCTATACACAGGCTCTTCTCTTCACATACGTGGTTAACAAATCTTCCTGAGCAACGAAGCGCCGGTGGCAGACATCCAGATGGTAAAAAACGTGCTCTGCACTCTGTTCCAGTTGGAAGGTTTGTCCCTGATCAGGTGAATGTCCTGTGACAACAGCCGAACTGAGCCTCCAGGACAATCCGCTGTCACCCGTTAACCTTATCTTTAACTGCCATCGGCTCACTGCCGATTCTTCCGGAGGCAGGAATCCGGTAGCTGCCAGCAATGAGTGTGCCCCGCTCCGTTGCTTTCACACGGGGGTGTATGTAAAATTCTACGATGGTGTGTGTGTGTGGGGGGGGGGGGGGTAGCAACTCAAGATGCTCAGACCATTTGAGAGCGTTGCAGGCGCACGGAGTTTCTTGCATGCCATGTAACACCAGTGCATGTTTTTAAGCTACTTTATTTGCGCGGCTACTGCGATTTCGGAGTTGTTGACAGTTATTGCACGCTAACGTGCATACAACATTGATAAAAGAGAGACATGTGCCTCCGGCACCCGCCCATTGAATGCGTTTGCTGCGTACAGAGCTGACCAGCGGTCGGCCGCTGGCCTGCGTCCGCCGTCCAGCCAGCCGTCGGCCGCTAGCCGCTGGCGCCGCCGCCGCCCGCCCGCGCGCGTTGCAGACGGCAGGCACCGCCGCCGGGCCGGGGGCGCCTGTCGGCACCTCTGACGCGGTCACCGGCCGGCGGCGGGGGCGCCAGGTCCAGTGCGCGGGGGCGGCGCGGCCCCGGTGCGCGGCGGCGGGGGCGGGGATTCAGCCCGTCCAGAGACAGCCGGCATGACTCACGGCACGAGCTTGAGGTCACACGTGGCCGCGTTGCCTATCACCGGCTCCGCAAGGTCGGCGCCGGAGTCGGTGGCTTGCTCGCCTACTCTCGGCAGCCAGCGGCAGCAGCAGGTCATTATGGCACGGTCAAGTTGAAGGGATTGTGTCTGTCAAAAACGTACCCCCCATTGGGCCTGTGTTAAGCCAAGCCTCGGCGGAACTATTATATAAATTACGCATCACGTAAAAAGAAAACCTAGCAAATGAAAAATAGCAAATGCGTCGGGAGTTTTGCCAACAAATAAATACACGTTTAAACACAAAAAACGACCCCTGACCTGGACATACCCAATCACTTCAAATAAAAATTTCCACGCATGTTTTGTATGCATGGTTAAGAATAATCATGTTTTATTCAAAAGAACAACATATCACGAGCAGCGTGCAGTAGCAGGATCTAAACACAAAATGTGGGTAATGAACGTGGTCCGTGTGAACGCATCCCTCAGTCAGACATAACAGATTAGCATTCAGGTTTAGGCGATCTCTTGGGAATATCCAAGATGTGAAAACCCTCGATCATTCGAAAGCCAACAAGGGAACAATGAACGCTTAAGTTACAGGGCCCTCAAACTTTCGCGGGGCGGCAGTACGTCCCATGTAATAATTATTGTTGACCGCTTTGATCAGGGTAGGCATCCCTTACCATACAACGCCCAGTGCATTCAATAAACAGACTAGCGTGAATGACAGTTTACGTGTTCTGAGAAGGCATGTGGCTTGCAATGATGTACAACGCTCACAAATTGTGTAGGGCAAAGATGTCCGCGAGAAAGCGCTACCGTATCACAGCAGGCGCTGATCGTTGACGGGCGAATGAAGGCAGATGTAAGCTTGTGGCACGTACTGGGTAACCGTTCAGGGATTCCCGTCATGAAATTCCACAAGCACTATATGATACATTTGGTCATTGAGTGACACAAGTACTATTTGATACATTTGGTCATTGAGTGACACCCGCTGTGTTGGGTGGCGTAGTTCTGCCCGATTCTGGAATAACAATGTAGAACATTTTTCAAGCTGTCTAGGACTTTTCTGCTGGGCGCCCACAAAGCTGTAATAGACCAATGTCCCTAATGAAGGCACTTCACCGAATGCGTACGTCCACTGTGTTTCATTGCTGTCACTGCAATGTAATATTATGCAATGAGAGCCGGCGCGATGATGCACTGAATACCCCACACGCCAGGAAGCGAAACAATCTGATCTATCGTTCGGGAGAGCCGGGTTGCAAATATTGACATTTACTATCACCGTGCACCGGGATAATACCTACCTCCACCTAGAGCCACACCTAAGCACGGGCTTCGTCTCAAAGTACACCCGGCCACCTGCTGCACCGGCTGCGAGGACCCGTACGTGAGCGAAGCCCCACAGGATGGCGTCTGGGGCTGGGCCGGGGGGACGCCGCAGAGCACGGCAGGGCGCGCATCAGGGCGCAATAGCGGAGGGTCCGTCCCGTGCACCGCCATTAATGCGCCTAACCGCGCCCATCACAGGCCTGCTGAAATAGTTTTGCCAGAGACTGGGGCCCCTCCCACATTCTCCGTCACCACGGTGTGCCACGATGTGGCTTCCGCACCCACCCGTCTGCCGTACCTGAACTGCAGAACCGAAGTTATCCGCTCTTGCCCAGGCGCCGCAAGGTCGCGGGGTACGGTTCTCGCGGGCGCTGCTCGCACAGTCGCGCCAGGAGGACGGTCTCGCGCGTTCTCACCCTACGGAGCGGTGCCACCGACTGCGCCGAGGCCGCCCAGCCGCCCATGCGCGGGCGGAATCGTTCCACGAACCGCCCCTGCATCGATGCCCCAGAGCCAGGCTATCCAGCTTTTTCAGTGTCATGATCTGCAAGTAACGTCAATTTAGCTGCCTAAAAATGTATAAAGAAGACTTAAAGCTGGTGGCGCTCAGAGTAAAGGGTAGCATATATTCAATTCACTTTAGGACGACCAATGCCGAGTTTGCGGCACTTGCCGCCAGTTGGCGTGCGCGTCGCACCAAGAGATGACGTCACCATGCTTGGCCGGCCGGCCGGCAGCGACGGGAGGCTCGGATTCAGTACAGACGACCCGAAACCGCATGTGGGCGGGATGGATGCCGAGAACTGGAAATGCACCCGGGCCTCTGCGAACCCGCGTGCCACCGGCGCAGTCGCGTTTGGGCGGTAATGGCCGCCCGGCGAGTAGCACACAGATGCGAAAGCTGAATACACGAGCTGTTCGTTTTGCGTTTTGAAACAAAACCGAATCCTAGGAGTCTAGAAATGTTTGGCCTCTAACACGTGTTAGGGAGGTGGTCGATTTGACCCTCCCCCAAGGTTTTCCAGAATGCGGACGCAAAGTAGCTGCGTAAAATTTTGCAAAGTTGTAGAAAATTTAATAGCAGATTGTGTGGCATCAGAAATTTAGATGTACCATGCATGGTCACTGACATACGGCAGGTCAAAGTCAGGTCATGGATTCAGCTAAGACATTTCTAGAGAATCGTTTAATCTGATGCAACAACAGGGTGTCAGACGAAGCTATACAGCTGTAACATAGTTTCTTAAGCAGCACAACAATTGAATGAAAACTTGCATTGACCTAGGGTCGGATGTGGAAGTCAGGCCAAGGTAAAAACCAACCTGTTTTACTACTCTAGAGCAGTAAATGGGGTCGTTTCCGGTACTCATTTAGAATATATTGATAACAGGGACTGCATTTTACATCTTCATGGGCTTCTTAAAGACCAGGGTAGGTCCCTGACCTAAAATGACATTTTGTCGTTAGGAACATACTGCCTAGCGTAATTTTTGACGTTTATTCAAATGCGAAATTCAAAACAGTCTTGTATGAGTTGGTCACTATGACCTGCGAGAGATCAAACAAAGTCACTGACCTTGAATGAGCAGCAGTGACCCTTTGCTCAGAACAGGTATATTTGTCCTGGGGGCGCATTGGACACCAATCTTGAGTTCGACCTTGTTTGACCTTATTTGACCCGAAGGTCATGATCGAATAACCCCAAGTTTTGACACAAGGGAGTTAACATACTGGCTAACACACCGTAACGTTCGTGTTTTTAGCTCTCTTAGTTGCTGAGATCTCAAGGGGGTCAAATTGACCTCCACCCAAGCGAAAAGTGTTTAGCCGGCCACCCGGGCGTGGGTCGAATGAAACGGCATTTTTAGCATAAAAAGGGCCATCAATACATTACTTTGCGCATTGTTGGCT